CCTTCTCATTGTTACACTATATAATTATTTTGTTTCTCACTATGGAAGTAATTCCTTAAAAAGTAGCTCTTTAGAAAAAACTAAAATGGTATTTCTGGCTAAATGCAGATAACATTGGTAAGGACTTCTAAAAAGGCAATTCTATTATGTGAATTTCCTCTAGATCCTTGAAATCTTGAGGGTTTTGATATTGTGAGATAAATTTGCATCACCTGGTAGATATTCAGACAACCACCACAATATGCAGTTTAAACAATGTTAAAATTTAATATGTTGGAGGGGCTCTGGCTATTCTAAAGAAGCTGTAAATACTTCAGGTAATTGAACATAAAATCTCCAAATGTGGCTTAGCTTGCTTTAAAACCTAAAGATGAAGTTTTCCATTACAGGAAAAGTCGACCTCAACTTAATTTCCTTTTACTGGAATCCAGTGCCAATATGTGTGTTGTGATTCCAACCAGGTGTTTCATTATACCAAAGTGCTGTAAAAGAGTACTTCTATCTGCTTGGGGTATTAGATCTTTCTCAAAGACTTTCATGCAAACTTACTTCTGTTTCAGCTGCTCAAACTAGCTGTCAAATACCTCACATAATAAACTGAAGATTCCATAACATCCCAACTTTAAAGACTGCTCTGAAAGTTAAGTAAAATGATGAAATGCTTATTCCAAACTTGTGCTCAGTATTTTAGCTGTTATGTTTGAGGCAAAGGGTTAGGCAGTGGTGAGGCTCGTGGAGGAGACTATGTATTTTAATGAGCCCAAATTGCTAATATGTTTCTGCATGTAAAACTGAGCCAGACTTACAAATCTAGCAATACTTGTTTTATGAAATTGCACACCTTTTGTGTGTTGAGGCAAGAATCTTCAACTAGTCAGAAGTGGCTCTACTGAACTGTAGTGAAGGTTGCTGCTGTAATTGCTTACAGCTTTGTGTACATCTCATTTTGATCTTTGTTAAAGGTTAAAGCACCAAGAGCACTTCTGTCGTTAGATGCACTTATTTCAAGTAATGATGCCAAATACACCTAAAAGTAGAGAGACTTATTAAATAAAAGCAAGGGGTGGATTTTAGCTTTGCAGTCATGTTAGTGAGGTTAATGACAATGTGCCCATCTGGAGAAAATGGCTGAGCATTGCACTAAGCAGATGGCTGCAGAACTTTTCAGCCCTAGCAGCTAAATGACAGGATCGGGATGAGAAGAGAAGGCCGCTGTGGGACACAGAAATGAATATTGTATTAGTGTTCTGTGTTATGGCTTGGATCTCAGTTGCATTAGATATTTCTTTTGTGTGAAAGTCTATCAAGCCAAAGAAGGGGCAGGATGTGTAGCAGCCTGAAAGGAATGTCAAAATTTTTCCCAGTAGGAAACTTGTGAAGCAGTGTAGCAAGTAAGAAATAAGGGACGCTCATCCATTCCATCTCTAGAGCTCCGCTGAAGAAGCTGCCTGGGCTAAGAGGGAAGAATTGGTGTAGAAATTCCAGTTAATGGAAAACTCCGTAGCATATTACCAGCCAGGTAATGAAGATTTTTCTCATTGAGCAGCGTGGTTTTCTCTAGTAACAGGAGTGTTTTAATCTTTTATCAGTTCTAGACAAAGTGTGACAACTGCATTTGAAGTCAGAAGGCCAGTTATCTACTGAGCTGATCAAATCTTCAGTGGGTCAAAGCAGTTACTCGAGGAATGCCTTGCCAGCCTTTCTGTCTAGTTTTATTGCTGCTGCGAACTTCTCTGTCATGTTCAAACACGACCTTTCTCTAGTCCTGTTCTGGGCTAACTGAAGGAATCTCACAAGCTTCTGAATAAAAGCTTGGGTGCTTGAATAACAATTTTTGATGGTGGTACTTCTTGCGTGAACAGACTTCACACCCCATCTTTGTGGTGGGGGAGAGTCTCTTATGCTGTGTATATGTATTAAATATGAATATATGTTATGTACATTTAGCTTGTGTGCAAGGCATGGTGTTTGATTGAAGTATCAGGCTTGTATGTGTTGGCAAACCCACAGATAAGTCCCCATCTGTTTTGAGGAAGAAGGCAGTAGGAGCTTCTGATGGGCTTCATGAGTTGCCATGTTGCAGTCTCGCTTTCTAGCCATTGTGTGCTGTGCTGATAGTGGCAGCGTAATTCTATTTCCTATCTTTTTTCTTGAATACACCTGGATTTACCTGTACACGTGCTCAGTAGCAAGCCTCATGTGAGAGGAAGGGTCTTTATAGGAGCTAAGAAACAAGTTGAGTGAAAGAGAAATTGTCTTGTATGGTTGCAGACAGATCCACAGTATGTAGCTGAGCATCATTAATCAGATTCCTGACCTACTGAAAGCAGAGGTGGCCTCAAAGTGCCCTGTGGCCACTGGAATTTTATGAATTATTAAATGGAAGAATGTCCATATTGTTGAGTTTAAGAAACCGTGATACTTCTAGCTCAGAGCTCACAGTAAGAAGGTTGGTACAGTTAGCTTCTCGATGTCAGTGTGAAGACAAGACTGAGCTACATCATTGTGTTGAGCACAGGAGGTGACTCCTGCGTGCTTTCCTTAGAGTGCAGGTGATACAAACTTGGAAGGCATTTGATATAGCAGGGGACTGTGCTGCCATCCAGAGACCTCGACAGACTGGGAAAATAGGCTGATGGGAATCTCATGAAGTTCAATAAAAGGATGTGCCAAGTCCTGCACCGGGGCAGGAATAACCACGTGCCCTGCTACAGGTGTGGACTGACTGCCTGTAAAGTGGCTTTGCTTGAAAAGGACTAGTGGTCCTGTGGGAACCAAGTTGAACAGGAGCTGGCAGTGCGTCCTTGTGGCAAAGGCGGACAGCGCTACCTTGGGCTGCGTTAGGAAGAATGCTGCCAGCAGGTTCAGGGAGGTGGTTTGTCCCCTTGATTAAGCTCTGGGGAAACCACATCTGGAGTCCTGTGTCTGGTTCTGGGTTCTCCAGTAGAAGGAAGGCATGGCTGAATGGAGTGGGTCCAGAAAAGAGCCACAAAGACTGTCAAGACTTTGGAGCTGTGTGGAGAGGGTGAGAGACCTGGGATTATGTAGCCTTGGGAAGAGAAGGCTCTGAGAATCTTATTGGAAAGTATATAAATGCCTAATGGGAGGGAGCAAAGAGGATGGACCCAGACTCTTCTCAGTGGTATCTGCTGAAGTAACAAGAAGCAATGGGCACACACTGAAATACAGGGAATTCCCTTTAAACATCAGAAAACACTTTTTACTGTTGGGGTGTCTGAACACTGGAACAGTTGCCCAGAGAGCTGAGGTGTCTTCATCCTTGGAGGTAATCAAAACCCATCTGGACATGGCCCTCAGCAGCCTGCTCTAGCTTGCTCTGAGCAGGGCATTGGAAGTAGATGATCTCCAGAGGTGCCTTCTAACCTCAGAGATTCTGTTGTTTGGCGACAGAAATATGGAGTAATTTTCCCTGTGGTGTAAAATTATAACTACATAGTATGAAGGAGCAAATTTCCTGAGAATACTATTTGGCATTCCTTCCAAGTGACTTGTGTTAAGAGTTCTGGGCATAATGTTTCTTCTGGGACAATATCCCAAATTCTAGATGCAGAAATGCTGCTGAACTTCTGCATTTGGTTAGGTGCTGTATTTTTGGAATACTTCCTCTTAAAAATATCGTCTGTTGGAAGGAGAAGTATAAAGTGTCCAAGTTAAAGGAAGTCTATAGCAGTGATTATCCTATTGTTTATGAGGCCCTTGCAGCACATCCTCATGCAGCTGGACACAGGGGTTTTTGCGCTGTACTGAGGTCTGCTCAGGTGAATACAGTAAATGTTGGCAGTCTTGGTTCTTAAGCATGACTCAAATGTGGTGCTAAGCTGATTGTCCAGTGTGGGTTGTGATCTTTACTATCCTGTAACGTCTGGGATTTTACTAAGAAGAGGAAGAGGATTTTTCTTTGGAAAACTTTATTTGGCTATGTTTTACTATGCATGCCTGTTAAGTTTTCCTGGGTATTGAATGTAGGGCTTCTATTTTCTACCCTAGGAAGTCACAACACATCAGTCTCTTTTAGATACAGTAAAATCTGTTACCTTAGTTCAAAGTTACTCCAGCAGAATGAATCCGAGCACTGGTGGCTTACTAGCGTAACGCTGCTGCTTCTGAATTGCTGGCCTTGTGCTATTTGTGACAATTTTGATTAGTATATTTAAGCTCTTGTGCCAATCTGATGTGCTGCTTATCTTAGAATTTGCAAAGATAGTCTTGAGAAGTTGTGAAGGCTGCAGGGAGCTTTTCAACTAATGCGGCTTCTTGGGGAACAGACCGCAGAGCTGCTTGTCTTCTGTATGACGTACAGGACAATGTCGGCGCCTGTCGATCGTTGAAAGTGGATTCTAGCAGCTGTCACTCAGGGTGGCACATCAGTCTGCTTTGCTGAGGTGTTGGAGTTGTGCAGTTGCATCAATGCTTCTGCTAGCTAAGGGGAGGGGTTCTTATGTTAGGAGAAGCCAGCCCCACAAGACTGTTTTGGCAAGAATCAATACCTGTTCTACATACTCAAGCAATTAGTATTATGGTGCCTTCAGTGCCTCCCTGTGCAGTCTGCTGTTAAACGGTTGCTCTGTTAAGCTTTTCCAGAACAGAGCACGCACTGATGTGGATATATTACACTGGAGGACTGGTTGGTAAATGGATTCCAGCAGAAAGCATGTACCTCTCTTTCAAGGATTTTTATGTAGTGATATGTATGTACCGCTTGGGACTTGGGCGTTACTGGCTTTGTAGGAGGCCCTTAATGTGAACGCTGAGTGCTGCTTTTAATTTCTTCTGCTCGGTCCTGTGCGGTAAGGAAGGCACAGACGGGAGTTCAGCTGGGCTCTAGGTAGCTTGATTTGCTATTGCGGCATTCCTCGGTGCTGGTGGGAGAGAGAGACTGATGACTCATCAAGTCAGGTGGTTATGCCTCTGCTGTGTGTCAGAAATTTCTTTCCCCTCTGCAGCAGCCTTTCTCATCCCTCTGTGTAGGGGCACTAGAAGGACAATTATTTCTTAAGTGGTGGTGCTTCACTGCTGAATTCTGGCCTTGCTTCGTTGGCCTGTGGATTTTTGTTACTCCCTGTTTCTGCAAAATAAGGTAAGAATCTGTGTTTATATGATAAAACAGTCATGGATTTTCTTCCTTGCTGCAAGAAGCCTCCTTCTAAAAAATTTCACTGGAGCCTTAATTTTGAAGAGATCTTTGTGGTAGGCAGTTCATTGTGTAAATTCTGGATCTGATCAAATGTTTGAAGCAAAGACAAGGAATGGTAATAGAGAACAGGTTTCTCCAGCCTTGAGAGCAGGACATTTATATTTTTGTGTCGCCAAATTGCCATGCTGGGAAGAAACCAAGATAGAAAACTCAGGTCATTGGCCCTTTCTTGTTTAATTATGACTATAAAATTACTGTAATAAATCACCTTGCAGTCAGAGACGGTTCTGCAGCAAGTAATATTCCGATTTCTTGATTAGGCAGAATATGACCATGTCACAGTTTAAGAGCATGTTTAAAATCAAGTGGTGAACTGTTTAAGATGAGGAAGATTCCCGTATATAAGTTGTAAAGGATACAAGATGCTTCTTTGCTCCTAAGGGAATCAAAGTCAAGCTAATATCCTGTGTAGATGTGCTGGTGGACTTCTGTAGGAGTGGATTGCATATAGTGCCTGTGTTGGCAAGAGGCCTCTGAAAGGCTACAGGAGCTCAGCAGATTTCTAAAATGGCTAGCTACCACAGCTTCTGCAGAAAGTGCATACTGCCTGCACGCACATGATGTTATGTTTAGCAAATACTGACGTGCTTCAGGGAATTTAATTTCATCTGAGTGCTGGCAATGAAAGCATTTAACAGCGTAGGTAGGTAAGGCAGCATTTTTGCCCTCAAGAACTTTTCCATATAAAATGAAAATCAGTAGTACTAATACACAAGCACGAGAAAACTATGCAGAGATAAATAACAGCATTTCTTTTTCTGAGTTTGTATTCAATGTTAAAAGATGTGTAGCCCCTTAAAAAAGAGGTCAGCTTTGCTGGGTGAGCACTGGCTTTTTAGACTGTGTGTACTTCGTCTGGAGGTATATAGGAGATGGAACAAAGAAAGGTGAGGAAGAATTCACCGCAACTTTTTTTTACACTGGAAATAGTTAATAGGGGTGTGTTTAAAAGCAGTTGGTGCAGATGCTAAAGATCATGGCAAAGACATGGTTTATTGGTGTGTTGCTAGGTGGTCTAGCGGAGAAATCCTGTTCCCTTTTAGTTGGCTTGGCCAGTAGTTTGGGAAGGTGGCTGTAGGAAGGGAGAGGGAGCAGAGCAGCCCCAGGAACAGGAGAGGCAGGTGTTGGGTGTCAGGATGTTGCCATTTTAACTGCAGAATGACTGTTCTGAGGTTCTTATTTGCTCCCTAAAAGATAAACAGTTGCTTCAAGCGGTGGGCAGCTGACCTGCAGGTTTTAGATATGAAGAAAAGTTAATTTAAATTTAAACTTAAACCGGCCAGTGTTCTTCCTGCTTTTCCTTGCCTTTGTAAATTGACTCTTACATATGGGATCCTGTGCTGTCCAATTGTCAAACAGCGTCACTAGTTCAGTTGTGAGAATTTGGTTTAACTCTCTCTTTATTGTGCTTCTGTAGAAGATTTTGGTAGTAGGACTCTTAGAGATTGTTCTGTATGGTATGTTGAAGTAAATGTTTTGGGCTGCTTTTTTCAGTCCGAACAGCAATTGTGCTTGAGTTTTGCAGTGAAATTGTGAAAAGCAAAAAAGGTGAGGTGGTTATGTTAGTCCGATCAGAACCAGCTCTTACCAGCTGTTCAGGAGCTGCAGATTGCTTTGTGGGGAACTCCCCTCTGCCATTTGTCAGAGGAGACTTTTGAGAAATAAGCAGTGAAATTAAAATTGTCTTCTGTGCCTAAACAACAGGCAGCTTAAAGGATAAACTATCATTATGGAAAGAGCAGATACCTGACATAGCCTTTGAGCTTGAGAGCAGTTAGCAGTTCCACTCCAGGCTGGTGGTGACTGAGTCATGATCAACTGTTGGGGTGGCTGTTGTGAAATGAATCAATGCTACAAGTAGCCATGTTACACAATCCACTCCAGTGAGACAAGGAGCCTGGAAGAATCTCTTTCTTTAGGATAAATAGGAGTTTGGAATTGTCAGAGATCCTTTTCTTACAGAGCAGAGCCACTGATTTAAAATATTTAGATTGGTAAAGAGGCTGAGGGGCAGAGGGCTTGTAGGATAGTATTAAAAAACTGGAAGACAGTCATAAGATTTTAAGAATAGCAGATGCTGGCTACCTACTGCTCCTGAAAAACAGGCAGAAAAGCATCCTTTAATGATGGTGGAAGGGGTGGCAATGTAGTTGTTGTCTTGCTCATTGTGCACGGGGCAGGTATTCAAGCCTGACTATGCCTCTATTTGCTGCCTTGCAGAAGATGCCGGGTTTGGTTAAGCTTCTCGCAAAGACCATGAATATCAGCAGATGCCTCACACGGTTCACGTCACCGAACCACAGGCTTTTCTGGATAGGCCCTGTTGATACGCATTGTATGCTGGGGCTGCCATACGGCACCTTTCACCGGTGCTGGGTCATAAATTTGTGAATGCAGTAGAAATGGGCAGAGAATTGCCTTACAGTTCTCTAACACTAATCAGTTTCCAAGGTAACGCAAAGCATGATAAGGGTTGACAAAGCAAAACCATTAAGTACTCTTATTGGCACCAGCAGGACAGCCCAACTATAGATTACAGGGACACACATGGATGCAGGAGGTCTGTTTCTAAAACAGCTTTTCCTGTGCCAGTTGGTTAGATTCTCTAGCAGTTACTGGTGGGAGATGTCAGTCTGTTGTTTAACTGTTGCAAGTTGTGTTTTTTGACCATTTTTCAGCACAATTCTGTAATGCTCCATGGGTTTCACTGAGAGCAAAGATTGCGCAATACCTAGCTGTGAGACATTTGGAGAGGACTTGCATGTTTGTGTGCTGGTGCTTGTGAAAATGTATGTTTCTTCCTCTGATTGTTCTGATGCAGGAGTGTAAGATAGCAAAGATAGAATTTTCCCAATTAATATTTGTAGTATTGCTTTTTAGAGACTGGTGGTAGTAAAGCAGCCCCAGAACATTCTCTTGCTTACTCAAAATCATGGAAAACTCCATGTTATGAAGGAGGGTAGATGAGATGTGGAAGACAGAAGAGATTCTTCATTGTTTAATTATCTTGTTATTTGGCTTGAAAACAGTCCAGCGGTGTTACAGCATTTTTGGAGTGTAACCGATTCACTCAGCGGTGTTTTGTGGAGCATATTATGGAGTGATGTTCCTCCCCTGTGTTTCTGCAATAGGGGATCTTAGTTCTTTTGTTTGTTTAAATTAGTTACTTTTTAACTTTTTATAGCTTTAAAATCAGTGTAGTTAAGGTGCTTCAGGCTATATAAGTTCAGTTTTCTTCAGTTCAGAATTCTTTCTAACTGGAAACAGGGAGAGAGCAGAGAGGAGAAAGAGGAGGAACTTATTACCTGTGTGTATTCTTCAGGATTGACTCTTTTCTTTTTTCCTTCCGTACAGTTGAACAGGCAAAATGGACTTCTCCAGGCTACCCAAAATCCGTGATGAGGACCGAGAGGCTTTTGTTGGCTATGTCCATGGAGTCTCGGGACCTGGTAGGTATTATTTTGTAAAGGAAATCATAGTTTCTGTTTCCTCTAGTGTCTTGTTAATCTTGTTCATTTGGAAATGGAGAAGTATAGTAGAGCTGTGGGTAGTGCTTTTTCTTTTTTGAGCGGAGCTTTTTAAGAAGAATCACTAACTTAGTCTGATAAAATATTAAGAAATATACTAACAAGATGTTACTGCTAATTAATCTTATTTAAAGATTTAATGAGCAGAAGTAGGCTGAATAATAATAATAATATAAACAAAAGGTGGTAAGCTTTCTGGATGAGATAAAGCTGCTGGTCAGAATTTGCAGGCCCAGTGTATTAAGCTTCTCTAAGAGGGTGTGAGATACATAGTCCATTCTCACTGAAATGCTGTTTGACCCTGTGCTCTCCGGAATACTCAGTCCCCTGCCAGTGTAAAGCTGTTCTGTGTTACTGCACCGTGGGCTGGAGGAGCTCAGCAAAGAGCTGCAAGGGTCAGGGAAGGTGGCAGAGTGTGGTGGTAGTGCAACTGGGAGGAGGAGGACGACTCTTCCTCCTTCTTTTTCAGCTTCAATAGTTTCTTTAGGCTTTGATGGTAACAGCTTTTGAATACATGCAGACTGTGCTGGCTTTTCTCCCTCCTGCATCTCTTCAAGGAGTGAAGGAAAGAATGGGAATGTGAGAACAGAAGAATAGCATCTGGTTTTGTTAATGCAGCTTATTTGATGAACAAAACTCCCTTGGCTCCCGTCTACCTAAATAAATGCCTGTTCTTTAACTGCTAGTTCCTTAGCTGCAGAAATGGAGAAAAAAAAAAAAAAAAAAATGTAAACTGATATAACTTTCTTTCCTAAGAAGTGGAAAAAGTATTTTTGTGTAAATACATGAACCCTGTGTGCAAGATTGATATTATAATATCAAAATCACAATAAATTTTATCCTAAAGCAGCTAGGCCTCACGTATGACTTGCTGAAATCCTAACTCAAAACGGTAGGAGGTTTCAGGCTCAAAACATGCTGTAAAACAGTCTTCCTCTGTTGAAAGTTGAGTGCCCTAAGATATGCACAACTTTTCTACAAAATAAAATATCGAAACAGTGTTTCCTTAAAAGCTTTGTAGGCATCTGCCACTCTAGATACAAGGGTACGTATGTATTGACTTTAGCTGGCGCCTTGGCTTGACCTATGCATTTGTGTAGTTATGTGAGCATACAGATGCTACCAAGGTAAATGGAAGTTTGAGTAACTTGAAAATGCTGATCCCCAACCACGGGTTTATGTAACTATCAGGTATCGGAATGTGGCCCAGCTAACTGAAAGGGAGATGTGCCTGTGTAACACAAAGTTCACTGTGTCTCTAAAACCCTGAACATTCGCTGTCTGTCAAGAAAGATAAGAGAAATTATGGCGTGAATTGTCTGTGAACTACTGCATTCTGATAGTGTCCTCTTATGGAGCATAAAGGAGCAGCGTGACAAGTATAGGGAAACTTTTTCTTTTGGCTTTTAAACTAGAAATGTCAGGATTTGTGGCAGCCAAATTTTGTGAAATCAAAAATGTGCTTTTGATTTGAGTGAATACCAAGCTTACGCTGTGCAGTTCATACTAACTTCCAATAAGTAACTTTCCTGAGCTACAGGAAAAATAGTCACTTCTGTGCCTGTCTTTTACAGTGGTCACGGCATGCAACATGGCAGGTGCTGCTATGTACGAGCTGGTACGAGTAGGCCACAGTGAACTGGTGGGGGAGATTATCCGACTGGAAGGTGATTTGGCAACTGTTCAGGTGTATGAAGAAACGTGTATCCTTTTCACTGATCCCTCTGGGCCTGCCAGGCTGTGCATTCCAGAACACGGTGGTGGTTAGGGTGAAGGTGATGAACAAAGCTGACTGGAACCAGCGCTTGTTGCTTCCGGTGCCAGCAGGACATCTGTTCTGCACATCTTTTGTAAATTCTGGTGGTTTCGAGGTAAATCTTATCTTGCTTGGCTGTATACTGAGGTGACCTTTTTTTTTGTTTTAAGTAGAAATCAAATAATGTACACGCTAGAATTTAAGTTCATTGTAATTTAAATATTACAGCTCTTTGTTAAGGAAGTTGTTTGACAAATGTCAATGCTACCAATCAGTATTTGTTGCATTTTTTTCTTTGCTTTTGAAAGCTATGCTTGTGTAACACTTGAACAGGAAACGTAAAGCGGGCAGGATGCTGCCTTCTGGGCAGAGTATTTTGCCAGATGTAGTCGTTTACAGTTTTGCTTCTGCAGTGTGCTTGCAGAATCTTGGTTCATCTAGGATGCAGCATGTATTCTAAAATCTAGTTTAAATGTATTATTTATTACACATATATGAGAGAATATCAGAAAAGTAGTCATAAAAATTGAAGGCAGACCTTTTTTTTTTTTTTTTTACATGCTTTTAAACTTTAGAGTTGGCTCTGTATCTGTAGAGGATAGGGAAAAGCCTGTGCTGGCTCCCAAAGCTTTGTTCTGAGGAGCTGGGTGGTAAACTGGTGAGTAGCTCCTGTCTGTACATAATATTTATCATTTTAGGTGTCATCATCATTGTAGTATCTAGTAGCCTTCCATCACTATACAGAACGGGTTTGAGTATAGTTTACTCTTAGGTTGCTGATGAGAGGGCTTTGACATAGGGCTCTCTGAAGTCAACTTGCATACAATCTCCTGAGTGTTGCGTAGGGTTTTGGGGGTTTCTTCTGTATTCTAGCAGGGCCTTTTGCCAAGCGGCTGGTCCTTTGCAGAGAAGTCCATTGTGCATCTTCGGAACTTAGTGCATAGATGTCTACATTTAGCCTGTACCCGGGGCTAAACGTAACAGCTGCTCTATCACCCGATGAACCCTCACCAGTCAGGGAGCGGAATCAGGGAAAAAGGAGAGAGGACCCGTCGGTGGAAGTACAACAGATTTAATGGAACTGCCACCAGTACAAACAGAAAATACTTAGCCAAATTAATATGCTGTTGTCAGAGTAGTCCTCAGCAGAGGAGGAGCAGGAGGAAGAACCCCAGCAGGAGTAACCTCGCAGGAGCTCCCTCTCCTCAGCAAATCTCCTCTCTTTGTAATGACTGTGACATTATGGTATGGGCTACACCTGTAGTTAACTCAGGTCAGCTGCCCTGGTGGCTTGAAACTGCTAATGGATAGCCTATGATTCTATCCCAGCCAAACCAGGACAATAGACTGGACAACTTGATACCAGACAGGAGGGAAATAATGCTGGTCTTGGACAAACTCCCTTAAAATTAGATTGCCGTCAAAAAGGCTGTGCAAGGCTCAAGGTCAAAACAGTTGTGCTCTCATATAATTTTTCACTTCAGAATTTGTTATTTCATAGTATTGTCTGACGTTAACAATTAAACCTCTTTTATAGGTCTGAAGATTTAAGAAATGCCCAGGGTTTTGTCACCCTGCTGCTTGGCACTCCAGTAATCTCATCCATCCATACAGTTGACTTGAACTAATGCTTGTAAAGTAGAATATTTACCCCTCCTTTGTCTCTCTGGAGGATGAGCAACTTTGTTGGTTTAGTGATTTCGGCTTGAGTTTAGTATAAAGCCTACATGCTTTTCAAATGATAATGTGTGATATAGTAATAAAAATATTGCGTTAAAGTCAGAAAAGTGGTTTGAGAGTATGATGTTTTGAATGTGATGCCTTCTGCCCTGTTTTTTTTTTTTCCATTTCTCTGGATGAACTTTTCCTCAGCCATCTTTAGCTGGTGTCTCTGTAGGAGATCCTGTACTCCGTACTGGCAAACCCCTGTCAGTGGAACTAGGGCCTGGCATTATGGGAGCTATTTTTGATGGTATCCAGAGACCTCTCTCAGACATCAGCACTCTGACCAAAAGTATCTATATCCCCAGAGGTGTCAACGTGTCAGCTTTGAGCCGAGATGTCAAATGGGACTTCACACCTTCCAAAAATCTGCGGGTAGGTTCTGATAAACCTGTCTTCTGCTCTTGCTCCTCTACCTCAAGAGCTTAGGGTTGGAGCAGAGTGCCAAGGCTGTGACTGCTGGGAGCTAAGGTTAATGCTGTATTTAAGTTTGTGAAAAGGGGTGCTAGGAGGCAGTAGCGATGTCTGAGGCTGGATGGGGCTCACTAAAACCTACTCAATGTGACTTACTGTGTGTTGTCGCTGCTGCATATGAGAAACTTGCAGTTTTAATGTATTTGCAAAACCGTAAAGAAGGTAGTGGAATTGCACTAAGCATTAGTAGGAGCAGATGTTACCTGAGCAAAAAGAATGACTGCAGCACACATTTTGTGAACATTGAAGATAGCCTTAGAGCTGGAAAATGTCACAGCTTTAGCCCTTGGCAGCATCCTTTTTCAAACGTTGCAGCTCAGCACATGCTATTCTTTCTCTACTTAACGCATTTAGCTGAGACGTATAAAAGAAACCAGGAGAATCCCTTGCATCAGTCAGCAGTTGCTACTGTCTGAGCCTTGAAAGGCGCCTGAGCCCAGATAGTGTTGCTAGCAATGTGCTGTTAGTGTAATGAGTTATGTAAATGGCCTACTGTGCTGTAACAATGCATTTATAAAGGAACTAATCACAGTGCTAGACTTAATAGCTGTAGTTATTTTATACAGTTCTTTGTCAAGGTTCTTTTTTAAAACTGGAATTCTCACTTATGACTATAGACCTGTTCTGATTTTAGGTTGGCAGCCACATCACTGGCGGAGATATTTATGGTGTGGTGAATGAAAACTCCCTCATCAAACACAAAATCATGCTGCCCCCACGGAACAGGGGTACAGTTACATACATTGCTCCACCAGGAAACTATGACACTTCAGTAAGTCCACCAAACAGCAGTTGCTGGTATATTCCATGCCTCTTTCATAAGGTTGATGTACTCTTTCTGTTCTGCATGATGCCGACTAGAAAGTGTTTCTTGCAACAAGATGTCCGAGTTAACGATCGCTTCTGCTACCCTGCCTGCAGGGATTACATGGTTATCTTGTGCAGTTACTTTCTATGTATGTGGCTTCCCTATGGCACTTCAGCATACAATGTCTGCTGACCTCTGTGGGGATCTACAGATTCGTATGAATATGTAAAATTCAGTTGCTCTTCAAAAGCATATTTTTAGTTGAAGCTTCATCTTGCACTTTTTTCCCCAGTAGCCTCGTAAATAAG